CTGTTTAGCCTTCAGTTGGCCTTAAGCAATGTGTATTGGTCCAGCTGACGTGCTGGTGATAGTCTTTGAAGGTGGCACATGTTTCCCTGGTAACATGTTTCCCTGGCACATGTTTCCCTATACCTGCTGCTCTTTAATGTGAGCCAGGTTGAGACAGGACGGTAGAGCTAATGCTCCACGCCACCAGCTGGGACCAAGCCTCGAGATAGAGGCTGTGACTTCCTGGGGCTTGAAAGACTACATCAAAGCTGAAGCACCAGACCCCCCAAAAAACATTAGATACTCTATAATGCAGGTTACTGTCTCTGCATATCCTCTCTGCATATGGTGGAGGTAAATGTAGGCCACCCACCTAGCTCAGCTCACAATGATCACCTACTTCCCACAATTCTCAGTCAATCCTCCTTAAGCCACTCCTCCACTAAATGAAACCAGGTGAGGCCCTGGGTCACTCTCTTGGTTCCAGAAAGCCATCTTCATGGCTGGACTTAGAGCCCCTTGACTCCCCGATGATTGAAAATATAACTTAGTGTCTTTATTTTTGCCGTGTATTGCATTGAAAGTGGTAGACTGGAATCAACTAAATGGGATTCCAATAACGTAACTTTGGGATTACAAATACTCACTTTTTGGACCGAGACGAGGATCTGGAAGTGTCTCCTACATTATTACCCTTTTTTTTTTTTTTTAAACAAACATTTACTTGAGAGACAGTATGGCAGTAATTGGTATGCCATGACAAGCAGTACATATTTAGAAGACCAGAATGACAGGCACTCCAAGCATGACCCTACCATTACACATTGCTATCTTCAGTGCAGTTGCTTAGTTCATAGGTATCAGCATATATAGTTAGTCAGGGTGAGAATTAACTGCTAGTTTCAAAAACATGCTGAAGATTCTCAGGATCATTGTCTTACCTATCTTGCACATATAAATTATGGCTTTGCCCCTGTCATGTTTCCTAGCTTTTCTCCTTGCCCTCTCTTCGTTGTCTAATCCTTAAGTTGTCACTTTCCTTTTAATTGTGTTATACCTTTCTATTTTTATTTCTTCTTTTGAGTTCTTATACTAGGGAGACTATATGATATTTACACATGTAGGTCTGGTTTATTTCACTTATGAATATATCTTCAAGTGGCATCCACTTATATATAAAGGCTTCAAGTTTATCATTCTTTATAGCTCAGTAATACTCCAGGAGCACTCTCTTCTAATCTGTGTTTCTTAATTCATCTAAGTTGTCTCCAGAATTAACTATCATGTTAATTTTCCTTACACTAGTTTTGTTTTCCTTACACTCATTCAGTTGGGCTTTAAGCTGTCATTGACAACCAAAAGAGTCTTAAGTGATACAGGCCTCCATTTCAACTGATGGCCATTATATACCTATAGTATGAGGCCCTGGAGATAAAGTGATCAAGGACATTCTTTAATGTCCTCCAAGAATCTAGTTTGATTAAAGAGAAAAGTTAGTGAACAGTATGGTGTGTTGAGATGGGAAGACTTTAAGAAGCTGTGGGCGAGGCTGGGGATGTAGCTCAGTGGCATAAGCACCTGCCTAGCAAGTGCGTGGTCCTGAACTCAATCCCCGATACCACAAAGAAAGAAAAAAAAGCTGTGGAAGTTCTATGTAACATCAGTTGGGGATGGCTATTTGCCTTATTCAATCAGTATAAATGTTAAGATCTTCCAAAATACCCTGAAAGAAAGACCTAGAGTAATGTTTAATCAAATATCTGGGTACCCTGTGGCCCAGGGAATTGACATGTAAAATTAATCACATAAAACAAATACAGTATGTTGAATATGTAAGTTCAAAAGAAAAAAGAAAAGCCGATTATAAAACAAGAGGAGGAGGGGCCAGGGAGATGGCTCAGTGGAATAAGCGCTTGCCTGGCAAGCGCCAGGGCCTCAGTTCAATCCCTGGTTCTGCCAAAAAAATAAATAAATACAAAATAAGAGGAGGTTGGCAAATTCCAGTCACTGGCTGGGTGTTAAGACTTGCCATGTTCTGGGTATCTTTTTTGCTCCTCCAGATCCACTGTCCATCCCATCTGTCCTCCAGGAGCCCCACCTGTGTGGTGTAGCACAGCAGGACCTTTTGCGCTCTCATCCTGGCAAGAGTTGTACCCTGCCTCCCGGCCTTGCCCAGCGTCTGATGTGCGCTGCTGTCCTTGACTGAAGACCGCTGATTCTCTCAGAGGAGACAACTCCGTACACGTCCTTCTCCCAGGTCCTGGAAATCGCACACTCACTCCCCTGGGCCCAAGACAGTACGCAGCTAACAACCACCCGCCCTAGGTAATTGTACCCTATGCTTGCTTATGCCCACAGCCTGGCAAGTAAACCCTACTAAAACTGTCCACTTTGAATGCGCCATCTGTTTCCTGTTGGTACCGTGGCTTATATGTGATAAGCATATTGTGGTTGTGCAGTGAGAGGAGAAAAAGCAAGTCATTTATGCTTGGAGATACACACTAAACTATTTGTGAGTGAAATGGTAAAAGATCTGGCATTTGCCCTATAACTGAGCTAACATGGGCCTAAATTGAAAATGGGAACATAAATGTTCACAAAGTCATTCTAATTTGCTAAAAAAAAAAAAAAGGAGGGACCCCAAATGAGTACAAAACCAGAAGGGAGAAGGCCACTTACTGATTCGAGAAGAATGAGGGTTGAAAGTTCACAGATTGAAGAAGAGCTGAGCAGTGCAGGGTTAAGGAAACAACTGAGTAGAGTGAGCGAGCTGGGGTCAGCTTAGAGCCAGTTGCACCAGCACCTAGTGTGCTCTTCTTATTACATTGCACTGAGCCAAGAACCAAGATCTGGTGGGCATTATGGATCAGAGGCTGGGTCAGAGCTGAGCAGGGCTCTTCAGGAGCAGCAGGTTAGACGTGAGATTTGCAAGTCTGACAGGAAAGGAGCCCCAAACTTGGCACAAGTCGCAGAATCATGGAAAGGTCTTTCAGGGAGCTGATACATTGGTTTGGGGAAAGGACTCAAAGGGGAGAGGAAATGTGAACACGGAGAGACACTTCTGATAACCTTGGAAGAAAAGAAGGTGCTCTCATCCAGACTCAGGAGGGAAGAAGATGGAGCACCACTCAACAGAGAGGCGGAGATAAGGGATGTCAGGGAGCTATATTCATAGAACATCTCATTGTCTCACTAAGTATAATGATGTCATGCTAGGGTGTTGGGTTGGTATTGTTACATGACCACAGCTGACAGTCCTGTTTGTCACACAGTGTAACTGTCGAGGGACCAGCTATGCTGTCATAAGTCTTTTTTTTTTT